CACATCTTCGACAAATACTTTCTCTAGCAAAGTTGACTGATAGTAACGTGCACGAAAGTTAATATGCATACAACCATAAATCAAACTCAACGACAAATATCTGTAAAAGACACTAAGACAAATAAAAGCAAGAAAACATGATATGCTTTTTAAAAGAGTATACCTTGTCACTCATGAAAATTGTGCAAGGATTTTTTTTTTGAAAATATGCTAGAAGTAGGGCTTGAACCAATAGCACTTATTCTCTACCAAAGTTGTCCAATATTAAAAATAACATGTATCATAAAATCTTGACATTAAAATAATACATTTGGATTTCTCTTTATACCATACATGCACAAATGTTAATATGCATAATAGCATAAATGAACTGTGCGGACAAATATCTGTAAAAGACATCAAGTGAAATATAGGAAGAAAAACACGATATGCTTTAAAAAGAATAGCGTCAGACACGAAAATGATATAAAGACGAAAAAAAGAAAATATTGTAGAAAAGAAACCTAGGCAAGAAAACATGGTATGTTTTTTTTAAAGAATACATTGTCACTGACGAAAATCACTTATTCTCTACCAAAGTTGTCCAATATTAAAAATAATATGTATCATAAAATCTTGACATTAAAATAATACATTTGGATTTCTCTTTATACCATACATGCACAAATGTTAATATGCATAATAGCATAAATGAACTGTGCGGACAAATATCTGTAAAAGACATCAAGTGAAATATAGGAAGAAAAACACGATATGCTTTAAAAAGAATACCGTCAGACACGAAAATGATGTAAAGACGAAAAAAAGAAAATATGGTAGAAAAGAAACCTAGTCAAGAAAACATGGTATGTTTTTTTTTAAAAGAATACATTGTCACTGACGAAAATTATGAAAAAATTAAAATAAAATACGCTAGAAGGAGGGCTTGAACCTCCGACCTTGTGGTTAACAGCCACACGCTCTAGCCAACTGAGCTATTCCAGCTTCGTGATTAAATTTATATTACACCCTATTTGATACGTATGGAGGACGCAGTTATACATGTTACACTTTGACTACGCTCACTGGCCTCACCTTGTCTTTTTCCCCAACGCACCTTACGTGCTTCTTCTTTTACATGACTGAAGTCTTTGAGTGTTTCTTGCTAACGAATGGGCCTTTAAATTTTAGGATTTTATTATCTAATGAGTCTGTACTCACAAAATCGGCATAACAAATTAGAAGGTCGTCACACAAGTTGCAGCGGGTCAAAAATCAGCTACTCCCTCCGTCCCAAAATATAGTATAAACTTGAGTCACTTATTTTAAGACGGAGGGAGTACATATAAGCATCTTTTTGGAAAAAAATATCCAATCTATTCATCTTCAATCATGGCGGTACAATGAAAACTGTAAATAATAAAAATTACGTCCAGATCTGTAGACCACCTAACGACGACTACCAGCACGGAAGCGAGCCAAAGGCATATGCTGCAGTCATCGCCCCTCCCTCGCCGGAGTCGGGCAAATCTTGTTGTAATAGACAGTCAGGAAGTCGTCATGCTAAGGCCCCAAAGGACCAGCGCACTAAACAACAACTGCTATCAATGAAGAGTAGCTTAGATCGGAGGGATCCATCCGGAAGACACATATACGCATTAGCCTTTATGCCTTCATGCGAAATAGAGTATTCCTTGTCACCTCGGAGTAAGGAGTGCTGAGTTTTAGTATGTGGAGCTTGAGAATTGCGGTGTGGATAATTTGTTAACGTCATCTGTAATGTCGCCTGGGGGGAGAGGGAGAGGGAGAGAGAGAGAGAGAGAGATACCCGACCCCTGCGTCGCCACCACAGGCGACACGGGGGAAACCCTACCGCCGCCGCCGTTAGGAACCTCCTCCGCCCCTCCTCGCTTTGCCATCGCCGGAGGGCTTGCCGGTGAAGCTGTGCCGAGCCCCAGGATGGCGGCGGCGGCACAGATCCGTTCATCCCGTTTTGCCCCTCCCCCTCCACTCTGAGATCCACTCCGGTGCGGCTTGGGATGATCCTCTCTGACGACTGCTTCCCGCCCCGCTAGTCCGGTCGTTCATCGGCGCTGGCATGGCCCCTGCTCCGGCCACTTCGCTCTGCCATCCTCTGGTCGGCCAGTTCCCCTCCAACTCCGGGTCACCGTCCCTCAGGTCCATCCTCCCCCGCCAGATCCATGGCTCCTCTGCGGAGCTGCCGGATTCGGCCTCGTTCGGCGCTACTGCGCAGCTTGGCGCGTGTCTACGGTGGAGTTCCAGCCCCGTCCTCCGGCTGCCTGCTTCCGCTGTCGGCTACCAGCCTTCGGTGTGTGCTGCGGCCAGGCCTTGGCCTGGTTCCGCGTCTTTTCAGGCGGTACGGCCCATCCTCCTCTTCGGGATGGCCATTTTTTGCTGGTGGAGGCAGATCTGGGTCTTCTCTGCCCAGATCTGTCTGTGGCGGCTCGGGTGCCTGCGCTACAGTGAGGGCGGTGCCGAGTGGTGGTGGGTCTTGTGGGCACGTCTCTCCTTCCTGTGGTGGATGCTCCAGCCAGCATTTTCATGTCCGCGTCTCCGACTCCGGCAAGCTTCTTTGGGATTGTTCGGTCTCTGGCCAGGTGAAAGCCCTGCGCCGATGCTGGTAGTGGCGATACCCGTGGGTGTCGTCCCCTTCTTGAAGGCGCTACCATGGCATCTCTACCATGCCCCTTGTGATAGAGGCGGAGGTGTCCCGTCTTTCGATGAGATGATGGATATCGCTTTGGTGGAAGTCGACTTTGACGATCCGACTACGAACGTGCGAGGACGTCGCGCCTTAGCAATCGCTAAACCAACTCCGAGAGGTTATTGACCACGCCGGAGCACGATCAACCTGACCACAAGGGTCTGTTTCCTGCGAG